AGTTGGCTATTAGCCATCCTATTCAAAAACAAGTTACAAATTCAAATTAAATATCCAACCATCATAATACTGAGTTATACTGACAGTTCCCTCATTTTAATTTACTGTGCATCTATAGTTAGCTACTAGTCTGCCACCACGTTTTATAAAAACAGTTCTGACAAGCCTGAACATGCATGGTAATTTAATAGAGTGTATGGAATATAAATGGCCTAGAAAAGAATGCATTATATGTTTCACATATCTAAATTAGGATGAGTATATTAGTACTCTCATTTTTGTTAGCTGCCAGCATTTTTTTACTAGGTAATTATATGTTTTATTGTGTGTTTACATAAACCAGGATGATACCAAATTTATAACGGAGAAAAAGCAAAGTATATAATTAAGCATAAATGCAAATATAACCAATATCTTTATGAATATTAATTTTTCAGTATTAAACTTAGGTTTTAATTATTTGAGACATACATTTTCCCATGCATTGGGTTTTCAAAGTTGATGAAATCACATTTATTATCATTCTTCGATGTTTTATTGAATTCTTTTTCATCTTAAACAGTTCTACTAACCCGAGAGTCATTTTCCACGTTCCATAGCATCGATGTGTCATCCTTGGTCTGTAATACACATTTTTTTACAAAAAGAAAAGTTTCTTTGTGACATAGTCTTCAAACCAAGCTACCTGCTTATTTCTACTTATTTTTTAATAATTTCACTTAAATACAACATTTTGATAACAGTAATATTTAATTCATCTTTCATTGGGTCATGATATTTTAATTAATCATTTATTAGAAAAACTCATGTTGGACTCTGTTAACAGCATTGAAGAAGCAGGAACTTTTTGTTTCCATTAACTGCAAATTCTAGAGCAAGGACACAGAAATTACTAACAAAGAAGAAAATATCAGAGATTAAAGAGGTAGTAATCTTAGATGAGGTAGTAAATGATGCCTTGATTTAGAAGGTCATGTGATACTTTTAAGAGCTTTTCAGAGATAGATTAACCAATTACAAAATCAATTTAGTAGGTCAAGGCCATCATTT